TGCTGTAGTATTTGGGCTTCTAATATCAGTTTAGAGTCTTGGTTCTTTAATTTTTGTTTTGTAGGAAATCAAGAAAGTGCTTAATGCAGGTGGTCATCTTGAATATCTGACCATCAAACCTACCTATGTGGCCAAGTATGTGGACCCTTGACCATCACACCTACCTAGGTGGCCAAGTACGTGAACACTTGACCATCACACCTATCTTAATGGACAAGTATGTGGACACCTGACCATCACACCTATCTTAATGGACAAGTATGTGGACACCTGACCATCACACCTATCTTAATGGACAAGTATGTGGACACCTGACCATCACACCTACTGTACCTATATGGTCAAGTATGTGGACACCTGACCATCACACATGTTTATGACCACGTAGGTTGACACCTCACTATCACACTCATCTATATAGCCAAGTATGTGGACCCTTGACCATCACACCTACCTAGGTGGCCAAGTACGTGAACACTTGACCATCACACCTATCTTAATGGACAAGTATGTGGACACCTGACCATCACACCTATCTTAATGGACAAGTATGTGGACACCTGACCATCACACCTATCTTAATGGACAAGTATGTGGACACCTGACCATCACACCTACTGTACCTATATGGTCAAGTATGTGGACACCTGACCATCACACATGTTTATGACCACGTAGGTTGACACCTCACTATCACACTCATCTATATAGCCAAGTATGTGGACACCTGACCATCACACCTACCTATTTGGCCAAGTATGTGGACACTTGACCATCACATCTACTTATATGGCCAAGTATGTGGACACTTGACCATCACACCTACCTATACGACCAAGTATGTGGACACCTGACCATCACACCTATCTATATGGCCAAGTATGTGGACACTTGACCATCACACCTACCTATATGACCAAGTATGTGGACACCTGACCATCACACCTATCCATATGGCCAAGTATGTGGACACTAGACCATCACACCTACCAGGGGCTAACTGACAACTCATGGGGCCCCTGGGCAATAGGGTATCATGGGGCCCCTGTATCCTTGCCCAAACTGAAAAAAGCCTATGAAAAAGGTACCAGGGGCATCTCATGGGGCCCCCTACTGACCCCGGGCCCTCAGGCAGTGCCCGAGTTTCCAAATGGTCAGTCCGCCCCTGACACCTACCTATATGGCCGAGTATGTGAACACTTGACCATCAAATCTACTTATATGGCCGAGTATGTGGACACCTGACCATCACACCTATCTATATGGCCAAGTATGTGGACACCTGACCATCACACCTATCTATATGACCAAGTATGTGGACACTAGACCATCACATCTACCAGGGGCTGACTGACAACTCATGGGGCCCCTGGACAATAGGGGATCATGGGGCCCCTGTGTCCTTGCCCAAACTGAAAAAAGCCTATGAAAAAGGTACCAGGGGCATCTCATGGGGCCCCCTACTGACCCCGGGCCCCAAAATGTTTCCAAATGGTCAGTCCGCCCCTGACACCTACATATATGGCCAAGTATGTGAACACTTGACCATCACACCTACCTATATGGTCAAGTATGTGGACACCTGACCATCACACGTTTATGACCAGGTAGGTTGACACCTCACTATCACACTCATCTATATAGCCAAGTATGTGGACACCTGACCATCACACCTACCTATACGGCCAAGTATGTGGACACCTGACCATCACACCTACCTATACGGCCAAGTATATGGACACCTGACCATCACACCTACCTATATGGCCAAGTATGTGGACACTTGATCATCACACCTACCTATATGGCCAAGTATTTGGACACCTGACCATCACACCTACCTATATGGCCAAGTATGTGGACACTCAAACATAACATCTACCTATGTGGCCACTTGACCATCACACCTACCTTAATGGCCAAGTAGGTTGACATCTGACTGTCACACTTATCTATATGGCCAAGTATGGGGACAGCTGAACATCACACATGTTTATGACCAAGTAGGTTTGACATCTGACTGTCACACTTATCTATATGGCCAAGTATGTGGACACCTGACCATCACTCACACGTTTATGACCAAGTAGGTGGACACCCACCTATCACACTTATCTATATAGCCAAGTATGTGGACACCTGACCATCACACCTACCTTAATGGCCAAGTATGTGGACACCTGTTCATCACTCTCATGTTTATGATCATGTAGGTGGACATCCAACTGACTATCACACTTATCTATATGGCCAAGTATGTGGACACCTGACTATCACACCTATCTATATGGAAAACGTATGTGGACATCTGAGCATCACACAGATGTTTATGGCCAAGTAGGTGGACACCTGGCTATTACACCTTCCTATATGGCCAAGTATGTGGACACCTGAGCATCACACCTACCTATATGTCCAAGTATGTGGATACCTGACCATTACATGTGCCTATATAGCAAAGTATGTGGACACCTAACAATCACACATGTTTCTGACCAAGTAGGTGGACACCTGACTATCACACCTGTGTATACAGTTGCAAGAAAAAGTATGTGAACCCCTTGGGATTCCATGGAGTTTTGCATGAATTGGGCATAAAATGTGCTCTGAATGTCATCTAAGTCACAACAATAGAAGAACACAGTCTGCTGAACATAATACTACACAAACATTAGATGTTGCCATGGTTTAATTGCACATAACATGTAAACATTAACAGTGCAGGGAGGAAAAAGTATGTGAACCTTTGGACTTAATAACTGGTTGACCCTCCTTTGGCAGCAACAACCTCAACCAAACATTTCCTGTAGTTGCAGATCAGACCTGCACAACGATCTGGAGTAATTTTGGACCACTCCTCTTCACAAAACTGTTTCAGTGTAGCAATATTCTTGGGATGTCTGGTGTGAATCGCTCTCTTAAGGTCATGCCACAGCATTTCAATCGGGTTGAGGTCAGGACTCTGACTGGGCCACTCCAGAAGGCGTATTCTGTGCTGTTGCAGCCATTGTTTTGTTGAATTACTTGTATGCTTTGGGTCATTGTCCTGTTACATCACCCATCCTCTGCGGAGCTTCAGTTGGCAAACAGATGGTCGTACGGTTTCCTGCAAAATGTCTTGATAAACTCTGGAATTCATTTTCCCATCAATGACAACAATCCCTCCAGGCCCTGAGGCAGCAAAGCAGTCCCAAACCATGATGCTCCCTCCGCCATGTTTCACAGTGGGGATGAGGTTTTGATGTTGGTGTGCTGTGCCTTTTTTTCTCCACACATAGTGTTGTGTGTTCTTCCCAAACAACTCAATCTTGGTTTCATCTGTCCACAGTATATTCTGCCAGTAGTGCTGTGGAACATCCAGGTGCTCTTTTGCAAACTTCAAACGTGCTGCAATCTTCTTTTTGGACAGCAATGGCTTCCTCCGTGGTGTCCCTCCCATGTACTCCATTCTTGTTTAATGTTTTCCTTATTGTAGATTTGTCGACAAAAATGTTAGCATGTGCCAGAGATTTCTGTAGGTCTTTAGCTGACACTCTGGGATTCTTCTTTACCTCATGCAGCATTCTGCGCTGTGCTCTTGCAGTCATTTTTACAGGATGACCACGCCTAGGGAGAGTAGCAACAGTGCTAAACTTTCTCCATTTGTAGACAGTCTGTCTTACCATGGACACATGAACATCAAGACTTTTGGAGATACTTTTGTAACCCTTTCCAGCTTCATGCAAGTCAACAATTCTTGATGGTAGGTCTTCTGAGAGCTCTTTTCTGCGAGGCATGGTTCACATCAGACAGTGCTTCTTGAAACCAGTAAACCCAAAACAGGTGTGTTTTTTAAGGGCAGGACAGCTGTCAGCAACACATCCAAGATCATCACACTGATTGGAGTCAAGGTTGGCTCACTCCTGGCTCCAATAAGCTCTGGGAGAAGTCATTAAGCTAGGACCTCACATACTTTTTCCTCCCTGCACTGTGAATGTTTACACGTTATGTGTATTTAAACCATGGGCAACATCTAATGTTTGTGTAGTATTATGTTCAGCAGACTGTTTTCTTCTATTGTTGTGACTTAGATGACGTTCAGAGCACATTTTATGCCCAATTCATGCAAAACGCCACGGAATCCCAAGGGGTTCACATACTTTTTCTTGCAACTGTATAGCCAAGTAGGTGGACACCTGACTGTCACGTTTTCCTGTATGGCCAAGTATGTGGACACCTGACCATCAGACCTACCTATATGTCCAAGTATGTGACAAAAAAACCCTCTCCGCCCCAAACGCTGGCTCCCGCCATCTGACAGATGAGCTGGCCTGACAGTTCTTAAAGAGTGTGATGATGTCACAAATGTGAAGGATCACCACTGCCCCTTATGACGTCATCATGCCCCGTGTTCGGCCAAAGCATTGCACCTGACCTGTGGTCAGATGGATAGCATGACCCCACCATGGAGATATCCTCAATGAACATGAATGCTCAGCTGTATCATATAAATGGCGGCGCTGGTCGCAGAGAACGCTCTTGTCTGACCTCTGGCCGTGCACTGATCAAAGCTGGCACTGATTGGATGGAATGGTATTCTCCCCCCCTCCAGTCACCTCACATTTGCACTTTGTTAGTGGAGAACTCTCCCCGCCGCACATCTGACTCGCAGATTTAATCTGGTTCTTAGGCGCCTTGTTTACAGGTTTTTAAATATTTGCAAGGCAAAAATAGTGCCTTTGTGTCAGCACAGCTGTATTAGTCGTCTGAAATATACAAACCTCCCGCTCCTTCCCCATCCTGATTCATGGCTTGTCTCCTTCCAGATGATTCCATCCCCCCCCCCCCCCCCCGGGAAGTTAACCATGTCAGGGCTCGTTAGGGCGAATCTCTGCAAAACAAAACTCTTAGCAGCAAATTTATTAAAAAAAAAAGTTTGCAATGCTATTCATCCCACTTTGTCCTCTGCTGAGAGTGCCTAACTACTACTTAGCTCCTCCTCCAAATGCCTTGATGGGTGGGTGTCAGTCCGAAGGAGTGGGTGGCCCTAGACCAGCCTTGTGATGGTGGGCCTCCATGATTCATGATTGAAAGAACCGAAGCCTAATAAATGAAAGAGGAGGGGGCCAGGAATGGCCAGGCTGGGGGGGGGGGGGAAGCGTTAGATGATGCTGGACGTCCTCCATCCAGGAAAGGAGGCGGAGCTCTGACTGGCTGCATCTACTAATGCACATTGTGAGAAGCTCCAGGTGTGCAGTGACTTTAGAGGAAGCGGTTTCGGTCCAGGAGAGGAGCCGGTGGACCTGTGCAAGACTGAAGGGGAGGAGCCGGTACACCTGTGCAAGACTGAAGGGGAGGAGCCGGTACACCTGTGCAAGACTGAAGGGGAGGAGCCGGTACACCTGTGCAAGACTGAAGGGGAGGAGCCGGTACACCTGTGCAAGACTGAAGGAGAGGAGCCGGTACACCTGTGCAAGACTGAAGGAGAGGAGCCGGTGCACCTGTGCAAGACTGAAGGAGAGGAGCCGGTACACCTGTGCAAGACTGAAGGGGAGGAGCCGGTACACCTGTGCAAGGCTGACGGGGAGGAGCTGGTACACCTTTGCAAGACTGAAGGGGAGGAGCCGGTACACCTGTGCAAGACTGAAGGGGAGGAGCCGGTACACCTGTGCAAGACTGAAGGGGAGGAGCCGGTACACCGGCGCAAGCCTGAAGGGAAGGCTGGAGGTCAGATCGGATGTATTGTACCGACAGAATACGTCCTACGTGTCAATTTTGTATAGTTGTGCCCATTATCTACTCTAATTGCCACCATTACTATAAGGATTCGGTTGGAATGATGTAGACGTGTGAATGTGAAGGGTAATATGTCAAATGTTCCTGTGACTACATTCATCCAATCTAATATTCTGGTGGGACTTGGTGGTCAGATAGGAATGATTTGGATCCCTGAGCCGTGCCGGCCTTTCAGAGAAGAACGCGGATCACATTCTGCTTACTAAAGCATTATCTGAACGCGAGACCACAAAACAACCTAAAGGCCGTCCGTCTGCTTCTATGGCAACATCCCCGAGCCTGCAAAGGCTTAACTGTGTCAATCAGGAGGCCCGCCTGCTCCTATAAAGAGATGGGCTAGCAGAGGGCATGGATCCGGCTCCGGCTCCTTCACCTAGCTGTCTGCCGTAATCATGCTTCAAGCTAAGCTGAAATTCGATACAATGCTGATGAACGAATTAAAGAAGCTTACGTAGTTACATAGTCTGGTTCGAAAAGAAATAAATTCAAGATATGGCTATTGAGTTGAACCCGAAACAGAAAAATAAATACATTAAACTTTTCATCCTCAGAACCCCCAAACCTCCAAAAAAAAACCAAAAACATAAAAGTACCTCCAGCAAGGAAAGGCAATCGAATATTCCCTGGATTAACAGTCTATAGCAACCATTCTCAACCAGGTTTCCATGGAACCCTAGGGATCCTCCAGAGGATGCTATGGAGGATCCCTAGAGTTCTATTTCAATTTCTTCCTCTCGGGTATGTTACCAAGGACAACCATAATCTTTTTAGCTGTTTCTAAGGGGGGGGTATTCTCCAATCGGACCTCCACGCTAATGTACTAGGATCTGCGGACATAGTAATCCTGAGATTTGACGTCAACAACTCAACCAAGCTCTACTGCCCATCAAAGGAATGTGAGTGGAGCGCTGGTGCTCAGGCTGGTTTTTGGATCCAAGATACGTTACAGAATAGCTGGCAACTCATATCCTTATCATATACTCTTTATTGGCACACAGTAGAGGACATAGAATCCATAAAATCCGAAGCGTTTCGGCCACAGCCTTAGTCAAAGCTTACCAAAGAGATTTGAAGGTTATCTCCAGGGTTCCTCTCTGTAAAAAAAAAAGGTTGAGAAAGGCTGGTCTACAGAAACCATTCTCAACCAGAGTTCTTTCAGAGGTTCCGTGAGCTGTGGCTAATTGACCTCCCATCTGGTGGCGCCTTCGTAGACCCATGTCCATCAGAATTAGCTGTTTCTAAGGGGGGGGTATTCTCCAACCTGACCGCCACGCTAATGTACCAGGATCTGCGGACATAGTAATCCTGAGATTTGACGTCAACAACTCAACCAAGCTCTACTGCCCATCAAAGGAATATGAGTGGAGCGCTGGTGCTCAGGCTGGTTTTTGGATCCAAGATACGTTACAGAATAGCTGGCAACTCATATCCTTATCATATACTCTTTATTGGCACACAGTAGAGGACATAGAATCCATAAAATCCGAAGCGTTTCGGCCACAGCCTTAGTCAAAGCTTACCAAAGAGATTTGAAGGTTATCTCCAGGGTTCCTCTATGTAAAAAAAAAAAAAAAGGTTGAGAAAGGCTGGTCTACAGAAACCATTCTCAACCAGAGTTCTTTCAGAGGTTCCGTGAGCTGTGGCTAATTGACCTCACATCCGATGGTGCCTTTGTAGACCCATGTCCATCATCGCTAAGCTGAGCCAGTAGCATGACACCGATAGTCTCTGAAGCTGTCTGTGAGGGGGACATTCTTCCCACTAACCACCAATGCAAAGGGTATTTGCCTTATGACCCCTGATGGACTAATGTTAGCAGATATTTGGCCTTAAAGGGAACAAGTTTGTAACAAGTTTACAATGTAGACTTTTCAGAATTTATGCATGGTGATTATATCTTCCCTTAATCACCTGTTCGCCTAAGACAGGGGTGGGCAAACTTTTTGACTTGAGGGCCGCAATGGGTTCATATATTGGACCCGGGGGCCGGACCAAGAGTACATGAATGATGTGTATGTGTCATCCATAGTAAGTATAGTAATATTCCCCCATAGTAAGCATAGTAATTAATCCCCCATATAGTAATTCATCCCCCATAGTAATTCATCCCCCATAGTAATTCATCCCCCATAGTAATTCATCCCCCATAGTAATTCATCCCCCATAGTAAATCATCCCCCATATAGTAATTCATCCCCCATATAGTAATTCATCCCCCATATAGTAATTCATCCCCTATAGTAATTCATCCCCCATATAGTAATTCATCCCCCATATAGTAATTCATCCCCCATAGCAATTCATCCCCCATAGTAATTCATCCCCCATAGTAATTCATCCCCCATATAGTAATTCATCCCCCATATAGTAATTCATCCCCCATATAGTAATTCATCCCCCCTAGTAATTCATCCCCCATATAGTAATTCATTCCCCATATAGTAATTCATTCCCCATATTAATTCATCCCCCATATTAAGTCCCCAAGTCCCCCCTGTGTCAATTCACTTACCTTTGCTCCGCGCGTTCCTCTCGCCGTTCCGGTGTAGCATGAAAATCTGTCTCCTATGAGGATCTGTCCCCCTCGACGTATCTGCGCATGTGCCAGTTTCAGGCATTAGCAGCCGATCGGCGATCTCCGGCACATGCGCAGATACGTCGAGGGGGACAGATCCTCATAGGAGACAGATTTTCATGCTACACCGGTCTTCAGGGCGGACTGTGAGAGGAGCCTAGCTGGAGCCTAGCTCCGCGGGCCGGATTAAAAGGTCCGCCGGGCCGTATACGGCCCGTGGGCTGTAGTTTGCCCATTGCTGGCCTAAGAGGACACGTGGCCACTCAGTGAAGCTGGACGAGAAGTGGTTTGGTTTAACCCCAAACTGCGTACGGGGTTCTTTAACATCAGAGTGGTAAAGATGTGCAACTCCCTTCCACAGTTGATGGTGCCTGTGGCTCTTCCAACCTTGTGGTAACAGTTTGGTGAAGATCCTTTTCTGTTCCAGCATGACTGTCCCCTGTGTGCAAAGACATGGCTTGATCAGTTTGGTGTGGAGGAACTCAAGTGTCCCGCACAGAGCTCTGACCTCAACCCTACTGAACACCTTTGGGATGAAATGGAATGCCAATTGTGAGCCAGGTCTTCTCCTCCAACATTACTAGACCTCACAAATTCCCACAGACACCCTCCAAAATCTTGTGGAAATCCTTCTCAGAAGAGTGGAGGTTACTATAGCCACAAAGGGGAACAACTCCATATTAATGCCCGTGGTGTTGGAATGGGATGTCCAGCAAGCATATGTAGGTGTGATGCCCAAGTGTCCACACACTCCATGGCCTTGTATGGGCGGGAAACTCGATATTACTGGCCTTGGTTTTGGAATGGGTCATCCAACGAGCTCATATACATGTGATGGGTGGAGCAACTCAAGTGCCCTGCACAGAGCTTTGACCTTAATCCCTACTGGACGCCTTTGGGGTGAATTGGAACAATAATTGTGCATCAGGTCTTCAAATCCCACATCAGTATCTGACCTCACCAACAGGCACACTCCAAAATCTTGTGGAAAGCTCTTCCATAAGATTTCAGGATGTTACAGCCAGAAAGTGGGTATCACGTACCTGGTGTTGGAGGCCAGTGGAGAGAGGGCTTCAATTGCGGCTAAGTTCCAGACTCCCCTGGATATGGGACAGGAGTCAGGCCCAAAGTAGCATGGGTCGCCTGTAGGAGTGCTTGTCAGAGGTACACCCAGGAGCACAGCTGATGCACTAGAACGGTGTCTGCAGACAGGTGGCGCCCGTGAGAGGTATGCAGGCCTTTAGGGTAGCGGAGGACCACAGAGTAGTCAGTTCAAAGCCAAGGTCAGATGCCAGGTGGAGATTGGAGCAGACGTATTCAATAGGATAGCTGGGGCCGTACACAGGTCAAGCTGAGGTCAGATTAGGAGAGCAGGTGAGAATATCTATTAGCCAAGCCGAGGTCAGATCAGGAGATCAGGAGAGCAGGTGAGAACATCCGTTAGCCAAGCCGAGGTCAGATCAGGAGACCAGGTGAGAATATCTATTAGCCAAGCCGAGGTCAGATCAGGAGACCAGGTGAGAATATCTATTAGCCAAGCCGAGGTCAGATCAGGAGACCAGGTGAGAATATCTATTAGCCAAGCCAAGGTCAGATCAGGAGAGCAGGTTACAATATCTATTAGCCAAGCCGAGGTCAGATCAGGAGAGCAGGTTAGCATATCTATTAGCCAAGCTGAGGTCAGATCAGGAGAGCAGGTGAGAATATCTGTTAGCCAAGCCGGGGTCAGATCAGGAGACCAGGTAAGAATATCCGTTAGCCAAGACGAGTTCAGATCAGGAGAGCAGGTGAGAATATCTATTAGCCAAGCCGAGGTCAGATCAGGAGACCAGGTGAGAATATCTATTAGCCAAGCCGAGGTCAGATCAGGAGACCAGGTGAGAATATCTATTAGCCAAGCCAAGGTCAGATCAGGAGAGCAGGTTACAATATCTATTAGCCAAGCCGAGGTCAGATCAGGAGACCAGGTTACAATATCTATTAGCCAAGCCGAGGTCAGATCAGGAGAGCAGATGAGAACATCTATTAGCCAAGCCGAGGTCAGATCAGGAGACCAGGTTACAATATCTATTAGCCAAGCCGAGGTCAGATCAGGAGACCACGTGAGAACATCTATTAGCCAAGCCGAGGTCAGATCAGGAGAACAGGTGAGAACATCTATTAGCCAAGCCAGGGTCAGATCAGGAGAACAGGTGAGAACATCTGTTAGCCAAGCCGAGGTCAGATCAGGAGAGCAGGTGAGAACATCCGTTAGCCAAGCCAAGGTCAGATCAGGAGTTGGGCA